GACCAACCAAACAATAGGCCTGGATGGGACGGAGCGTGGGACAATGCACTGGGTACTCTTGTCCCGGGCACCAGGGACAAGAGATCTGCTGGAACCTCAGACCTCCTGTGGGAAAATCAGACAGTGGAAGGGCGCAGGATTATGTAGAACAGCAGAACACCAAGCAGGTCATGGAAGAACTCGTTCAACATTTCAATGGACCAGTGTTGGTGCTCCCCAACCTCCCAAAACCCCAAGGCCCTTATCAGACAAACCCAGAACTCCTTTCTGTCCTTAACAAAACCCAAACCCTGCTTAACCTTACTAACCCTGGCTTAGCAAAGGACTGCTGGCTATGCCTCAGGTCTGGCCAGTCCTGGGTCTCTCCTGTCCCGGTCACAGGAAATTGGACTCTCCCTATGCCTCCAACCCAATGTCCACCTTCACTACCGTGTTCTGACATCCCTCTCCCACATGACTTGCCTGTGGCCCAGTGTATAGCACGAATTGGCACCCTGGGGGTTGGATGGGCCCCCCTCCGCCTCTGCTCACGATCACTCATGGTCCAACCAAATAACACCCTCTGCCCCCCACTTAACGGGACTGCCTGTCTGTGCGGCACTGCCATCAGCCCGGTCTTGCCCCCTGACTGGTCAGGGTCCTGCATTCTTGTCATCCTCCTCCCCAATGTTGTAATAGCACCCAGTAACCAAAGCCTGTCTGTCCCTTTGGTCAGTTCCTCAACGTCACGGGTAAGGCGGGCAGTTGAGCTCATGCCTCTGCTGGTGGGGCTGGGTATTACCGTGGCCATCGGAACTGGGGCAGCAGGGCTGGGATCCTCACTTCACTTTTACAAACAGCTCTCCTCCCAACTGATCGAGGATATGCAACAGGTGGTGGACACGGTCATAGACTTACAAACACAACTAGATTCCTGGCTGACATCATGGTCCTCCAGAATCAACGGGGACTAGACCTGCCAACAGCGAAAGAGGGAGGGATATACCTATTTCTTAGAGAGAAATGCTGCTTCTATGCCAATAAATCAGGAATAGTCAAGGACAGAATTAAACAATTACAAGAAAACCTCCAAAAACGGAGAGGAGACCTGACCGGAGGTCCATTCTCAGGGTGGTGGCAATCCCAGCTCCTAACGTGGCTTCTCCCTGTTCTGACTCCACTGATGGTTATGTTTATCAACTTGTCAATGGCCCCGTGTGTTTTTAGGTTCCTCCCACAGCGCCTGGCAGAGCTCTCTCAAAGAACGGCCAACCAACTACTGTTACATTCATACGTGCCCCTTCCATCTGAATGACCTCTGGCCCTATATCAGCCTTAAGACCCCCCTCCATGCCGCCCCTCTCCAGCAGGAAGTAACTAGAACGAGCTGGTGCCCCTATGACCAAAAGGCTGGATTGTCAGGTCGGAGGTACCGGAGGGCGGGGCGGATCTCAACAAGATGGCTCCAACCCGGCCCAGGAGAACAATGGGCGAAAATGAGCCAGCAAAAATGAGTAACCGGACCTAAGACTCCAGCCGCAAACCTAGCCAGTATCTGTTACAGTGGCTCTAGCAACCCCGTTCAGCCAATCGCCAGCAGATGCGACAGCTGTCCCAACCAGTGATCGCTCTCTCCGATCCCCTCACAGCTTTCTCAGTGTGCCCTTTATAAATCTGTTGCCCATCTTGGTGGGCGTGACTTCTGGGGCCCACAGTTACATGGACTGGTGAACCTCGTCTGGGATTGCGCTGATAAATTTTCTTGACTCCTTTGTTGATGTTTCACCTGGTCTGGTTTCATTTACCTTACACCTAGTACTAGGTCAGCCTATGGTGGAATTACTGCGTTTCTAAGGCAACTTCTGCCCTCAGGAGCAAGTGTGGAGAGGTGCTCTAAGATAGCAGTTCTCAAAGTGGGGCTGCTGGAGCATCAGAATACATGACAGCTTGTTAGAAAACGAATTATTTGGCCCTACCCCAGACCAACTAAATTAGAAACTCGTGGGGTGGGGCGCAGCAATCGGTGTTTACACACCATCTGGACTTTAGATGCTGCTCCGAGAGAAGAGGACCGTCAACTTGAAGTAAGTTCAGGGGGCTACAAGGAAAAATTGGATGTGATGTTGAAGGAAGGACTTGCACACAAGGAGGGGACACTGGGTGCTAAAGCATGATGAAAGGCACGTTGTTAACAGCCTAGTTTAGCGTCAAGCATCCCTGAACTGGAAGAGAGGAGAGAGGATTCACTCTCACTTAAAACAAGGTGAAGAAAGGCCAACCAGGCTCGGTGGCTCAGCCTGTAATCCCACGCCTTTGGGAGGATGAGGTGAGTGGATTGCCTGAGCCCGCGGGTTCGAGACCCAGCTGGGCAGCAAGACCTCATCTCCACAATAAATCAAAAAATTAGCCGGGCGTGGTAACATGTGCCTGTAATTCCGGCTACTCGGAAGGCTGAGGCGGAAGGATCATCGGAGCCCAGCAGGTCGAGGCTGTGGTGGCCGGAAGCAGCCACTGCACTCCAGAGTAGGCGACAGAGTGAGACTCCAACTCAAAAAAGAAAGGCCTTGAAACGAGTCGTATTGCCCATCGAAAGGAGACTGGATAACAAACAGGAGGTACATATACACCTTGGAATATTACGTAGCCATAAGGAAGGACAAAATTATGAACTTCACAGCAACCTGGATGGACTCGGAGCCTACAATACCAAGTGATCTATCACAGAACAAAGCACTGAGTACCACATGTTCTCTCATAAGCGGACCTTGAACAATCATCGTAATACTCTAAGAAAGGGATTGGCAGTAGTGCGAAACTGCCAGGGGAGAGAGGGTACACCTCATCAACAAGGGGACCTGCAAAGTGAACATTTGCATACCTAACCCTGAATTGCACCCCACGTCTTCAAAATAAAAAAATTAAAAGTTAAAAAAGAAGGGCATTGAGGCCAAAGGGGGAAGTGGGGCTGGAAGGGCATGGGAACTGGGGAGCTGTTGAAGCTTTACAAATGGAAGAGTGACACGGTGACCACAGTGTTAGAGAAAAATTAATGACTACGTGGAACAGAAATGTCAATGTGGGATGTTTCGACGCTCTCTAGGGACACTTTCCTCGTGTTCCGCTTTTCCTGGGACTCTTCCACCTAAGAATGGGTAGAGGACGGGAGGTCTCCCAATCATACTGTACACAAGGACAAGAAGTGCTTAGGGAGGCCATGGCATCCCACGTAACAGGACGGCTTGCTTAGAGAGCTCAGGAATGGAATTTTTGCTGAAAGAACGTCCTGAGAGAAGAATAGGTTTGGAGCCCTTCGGGAACAAGCATCACAAACAAACAAAAACCCAGACTATCCTAAGAAGGGATTCCTGGCCTTATAGGAAACAGGTAGAAGATCACCTGCCCCAAGCTGCAACCAAAATAAGATCCACCAAAATAAGATCTTTACACTCCTGCTACTTACAGTAGAATGGGGCATGAGGGGAAGAAGGAAAACCAGGATAACTCCCTTGATGGAAACTGAGAACCTCTCCGAGGTTCTCAGTTTACTGCGGACTGGCAGTATGGAACAGGGCAGTAGGGAACAGACAACCCCTGCAGACATGAGATCCTCTGCCACCAAAGTCAGAGTTGCCTGAAGCATCTCCTGCAGCCCTCAGGTTGGAGTCAGTTCCTTCTTTCCATTCCAAGCCTCATACAGACGCCCAGAACTTGGGCAGATAACCGGAAATGTTTCTTGGCACTGCCTAGATCTTCCTCTCTACCTGATCTCTAGCTCCCAGTCCTGGAGTAGAATGGCTTCCCAACGCCGGTGCAGCCTCCTTCCCGCCTTCCTTTCCCTGGGTTGCTCAGATCTGAGGGTGGCATGGCCCCTCCGTTCCTCCCAACCGTGGCTCCTGCCGGCTCTTCTCATATGTTCATGGTTGATCATCCTTGGGAGTTTTCCCGACTCCCTGGCCCATCTTCCAAGGCTGTGTCTCTTACCTGAACCCACAGTGGGAGCAGGTGGCACGGAGGGAGAAGAGAAAGGTAAAGAAGACAAGAATCAGAATGGGAAGACTTAACTGCTGAGCCAGGGACATGACTTTGTAGGAACACCCCTCCTCTACCTTAGAAACGCCTTCCTCCCCGGGATGCTCATCCCCGCACCCACCTGCCTTCCCTTTGTTGTTTTACAGGGAACAGAGACGTTAGTACGGACAGCCTCTAATCTCTTAACAAAAGATTAGATCACGATTCCTCTGTGTTCCTTCTCTCCCCTACCCTGGCTACCCACTCTTAGTTATTGTGTCCATTCCTCTGGGAACAGTGAAACACAGTAACAACTCACTAGGCCCGGTCCCTGAGCACCTGCTCCTCTCCTGCTCTGCGGGAATGGAAGTGGCAAGGTGACAGCCAGGGAGGGGCTGATTTGGCCTGCGGCAGAGAGAATCAGGCAGTAAAAATGGAGGAGGCTGCTTAAGGGCGAAGAAGGAGTTGGACGATACCCAGACAGGCCCAAGGGGAGAAGCCATGTCATTATTTGTTGGGAGGGAAGGGTGGAGAACTGGGTCTGCACGAGGTAGCCTTGACCCACTCACTTGCTCTTGTGCCTCAGCAAGCAAAAGCACTCTGTTCCCTGAGTTCTTGACCCCCAACATCAGGCCTTACAGATGCTTTCCTGAGTGGAAAAGCCCTGCTGTCCTCTGCTCTCTAAGCCTCTTTCCCAACCTCTTTTCTAAGCCCACTTCTCCAGGAGCACAGAGGCCGCAATATGCACCCACTCCCCTTCCACCCAGTTCAGGCTTCCTCAGTTCTTTCTCTGCCTATGGGATCTGGAGGTAAGAGCACTGTGCCTCTTCACTGTGTCCCAATAACGAGTAATCTGTCCATTTCTACAACGCCTGAGTTTTTGTGTATGCTGTCTGGCTCTTCTCGTCTCAGAAAGGCAATTGAGTTCATGTCCCATAGCCATGTGCTGGGGAGGTGGTGGACAGGTATGCAGTAGAATCTCTCCCCTTTATCGCATTCTGCCATTTCTTTCCTTAGTGCTGTGTCCTCATGGGCACATGTATCTCCCTTTTTTCTGAGATGGTGAAGGCTGATAGGAAGAACGGGTCTCTAGGAGACTGTATCACAGGGCTGAAAGGGGAGAAGAACGGGTCCTGATGAGACAGCCAGAAGCCCTGACTTCTATTCCACAACCTTGGGGATGAGAATGTGCTTCTCCCTGGAGTCCCTGTGTTCAAACAATGGCATGATATACGCACTTGGAACAAGGAATCTCATTTCCCTTCCTGTTTCTGTCATCTAAGTGCAATAACTTCCTGCCACCTGCCTTAAATAATTGATCTTTCCAAGAGGACCCGTGTTCCCTGCTCTTGACCCCGCCTGGCAGTGAAGACAGTGTAGATACGCTCTTACACAATGAGCTTTGACGCTAACAGGAATGATAATGGGGGTTGGCATCATTGGGAAAATGGAGTGCTCTTTCGCTGGCCTGCTTTTGGGGACTTTGCTGGATCTCATGAGTGGCAATAACCGCTGACTCCACTGATGCAGTCTTTCCTTGAATCTTTGAGTTAACCCCTCGTTTCTGAAAGTTATATAATTAAATGTCCTATGAATGGTGGTATAAGAGCAGCTATAGGTTGCTAACATGGACTCACACAAAGAGAACAGAGTCCTCCGTGGGAAGCTGAATGTCCGCTTCTTACTTCCAAGGGCACCGTATGAGTTTCTGGAAGAGATGGTGGAGCGGTCATAGGGTTCACCTTTGGGAATATAATAGCATCCCTTCTTCCTCTGGGCTTAGTCTTTAATTCTTTTTAGTGGCCATACTATACGGTCAACTCTCGTTCTTATTTCAAGTTCATTAGTTGGAGGATGCACCTAACAGGAACCTGTTCGCAAAATCTCCACCCCTAGCCATCATGTCCTCTTTATTCCCAGGCATCTTAAGTTGGGGCTTTCTGGTGTATTTTGGTTCTGTTCCTCGGGAGCACTGTATCTAGCGGATCTGTGCATGAAGGCTGGCTGGAAAGGAGCGCTTCTAGAAGGAACATCATGCCAGAAGGCTGTCCTTCTGGCCATGATGGGACCGAAAACCAGCTACAAATGACGAAAAACCCATCAAAGAAGAATGCTCAAATGGTGAACAAGTAGACAAAGTTTATTTTCTTTTAAAAATAGCTAGCTAGAAGATGAATGAGGAGTGTTCCAAATGCTTCTGGAACATCTAACTGTGACCAGTCACCATGAGAGGCATGTTGCCGTGTGCATCTCAATTAAGTGTCACAGCAGCCCTGAGCGGTAGGACAAATTAGTCCCTTTTTACGAGTCTGAGAACAGGCTTAGAAAGGTCCCTTGGTAGATAACAAATATCTGAAGGCATCGATGCCAAAAAAAGTGAACATTAGCCATTCCTGGGTGATTTGGCAACCAAGTTGTCTTGTTAAATATTTAAATCCAAAATGAAATGTTTTCGTTACAAAGAAAAACCCTATGAAATACTAAATAAACAGATAGAAACCTTGGCCAATATTATACACCGGATCAGGCAGGAACATAAATCCATGTCTGTAAACGTCCCTTGACATCATATTATCTTAAGAGATAGTCACTAGGGCCCATGGGGAGTAGAGGAAAACCCACAAAATCAGAAAGCAGCCTCCATGTAGTCTGGCTCTGAATGGGGTGATCACTGGTGGCCACAAACTTTACTTTGCTCTGACGCTTCACAATGTACCCTCCTGGTATCCGACGTGCATCCCAGGCTAGCAGGCCACAGAGCTCTCCCTGCCATTCTTCCTGAATCAGTTTTGCAAAAACTCCAGACATTCTTGCAGCGCATTCAGGTATATGTGGTTGTGGCTGAGAGACCAAAAAAAAAAAAAAAAACTGGGGTAGGTGTAAGGGGAGGCTCTCTTTTAGACCTGGAGCAGCACTGAACCGACTTGAAAACCACATAATGCAAGTCAAAAAGGGCCATTCACCACTGCCCTGTACTTTCTACAGAGACAGATACCCATATGAGCACACAGACTGCCTCCCTCGTCATTTCATTCAGACAAGAGAGAGTCCATACATCTCCTTTATCCTGTGGATTTTCTGGTGTCTAAGAAGACTCGACCGCCTGCTAAAGCTTCTCCCGCATATGCTACAAGTATAAGGCTGCTCACCTGTGTGGGTTCTCTGGTGTTTGATAAGGTGGGACTTCTGAATGAATCTTTTCCCACATTCATGACATCGAAAGGGTTTCTCTCCTGTGTGAATTCTTTGGTGTGTGTGTAGATTTGTGTTCTGACTAAAGCTTTTCCCACACCATGAGCATCTATATGGTTTTATTCCCTGGTGTGTCACAGCGTGCTTATTAAGGTCTGAACTCCATCGAAACCTCCTGCCACACTGTTGGCATTTATACGGTTTCTGTCCAGTGTGAATTCGCTGGTGCTTCAAAAGACCAGAGCTAACTCTGAAGTCCTTCCCACATTCCTGACATTTAAAAGCTTTCTTCCCTGTGTAGCCTTCTCCATGCAGATCTCTACGTTTTGGAAGCTCTTGTTCACAAGTCCAAAGTTTATTTCTTTTCGTCTTTGGCAAAGCCTGAGGCTGCTTCTGAAGCCTGTGTGCACTGTCATGATTTTCCTCGCCTGCTGTTTTTTGGGCAACTTTCGTTCTGGGCCTTTTTGACACTTTGCATCCCGATGCTGGTATTTCTGAGGCAGAACCAGAAGTGGAATGATAATTGCCAGCGTCATTCTTGAGCTTTAAACCTGTTTGAATAAACAGAAGAATAAGCCACCTGTGTCCCAATGCAAGAAAACTACACATGGAAAGAAAGAGAGAGAGAGGGGGGGGGGAAGGGAGGGAGGGAGGGAGGGAAGAAAGCAAAGAAATTAGCAGAGACAAAGGTCAGGGATGAGTGCTTTTCAAAAGTAAAGGAAAAAGTGATTTCTGGTCCAGTCAGAACACAATGGTGTAGACCCACTTCTCCTGATCCTTCAAAAGGCACAATAAACTCATTACATACTGAAATAGAACCAAACATAATTCTAAAAAGTGGTCAGAAAAAGCCAAACTGGATCGTGTCCCCGGAACCAGAAGCATACATGTAGCAGACCCCAGATATATAGGTTTCCAACCCTCAGCTTCTCATCAGAAGGCTGTTTGGGTGGGCTTCTTCCCTCCCCAGTCGGAGTGGAAAACCTTCTGGCAACATCACGCAAACCATAAACAATTGGCAACGGGGAATGGACTGGAGTCCTGTCAACAGTAAGTGGCCAGGAGAGGTACTTGCCTTCCGTACTGAGCTGAAGACTCTCTCCAATCACAGCCGAGAGATACAATGATGCGTGAGCAAGACTGGCAAGAAAGATCCAGAGACATCACAATGGAAAGGATGCCTCTTCAATAACAAAGATATGAGAATCCTGCGACTCAATAGCAGATGCCAAAGAGAAAGGGAGAATTGGCAAAAGGGATCCAGCCACAACCAGTGGCCCGGCCTAAGAAGCCTCTTCATCCCCAGGGGTCCGAGCCTCCCCTTTCTTACTGAGAAATACCCTGGCCCCCCAAAAATGCCTTTAACACCCTCAGGCAAAACCAGCAGGGGCCTCTGGGAGCCCTGGCAGTACCAGATAAATCAAAGAGACCAAAATAACAGCATAAAGCCTCTGAACATTAAACTGTCACTGAAGGCATACCCCACAAGAGCAAGAAAGAATGTGTATGCTAAATTAAACATGCTGACTGCCTGCTAAAACATAGGATTTAAATAGGACCCAGACTCTCCTAACGTAATAGACAAAATGATCAGAATACAATTTAAAAAACCCTCATCAAACCAAAAAAATGACCTGAGTGAAAAAAGGAAACTCTGACAAAAATGAACAAACTAAAAAATCACACCCAGCAAAAAAAAATTAAAAATTAAAAATTAAAAACCAGGCTGGGTGCAGTAGCTCATGCCTGTAGTCCCAGCACTTTGGGAGGCTGAGGCAGGAGGACTGCTTGGGCCCAGGAGTTCAAGACTAGCTTGGGCAACATAATGAGATCTTATCTCTAAAAATATAAAAAGTAAAAATAACAAACAGAAAGACAACTGGAAATCTCAAAAAAACCTGAAAATGAAACAATACGCTTCTAAATAATCCGAGGTTTCAGACAGAAAGCATCAAAGAAAATTTAAAAATAGACTTGAATGGAAATGAACTTACAATTTATAAAATGTATGGAGGCCCAGCTCAGTGACTCAGCCTGTAATCCGAGCACTTTGGGAGGCTGAGAGGAGTGGAATGCCTCAGCCCGTGGGTTTGAGACCAGTCTGGGCAACTTAGTGATCTCTCATCTCTACAATAAATCAAACAATTAGCTGGGCATGTTAGCGTGTGCCTGTAGTTTCGACTACTTCGAAGGCTGAGGCGGAAGGATCACCAGAGTCCAGAAGGTAGACACTGGAGTGGCCATGAGCATGCAACTGCACTCCAGCCTGGGCGACAGAGTGACCTGCTGCTGACCCAAGCCACGCCCCTTGCATGGAGCCAGGCTTGTGGAGCTCCCCGCCGTGTACGGGGAGGTGGCCGCTGCGGATACCATCACTGGCTTCCTCCATTCCTCGGCAACCTCCGAGCTGCAGGCTTCAGCAGCTGCTGATAAAGTCTACTGGAGTGGTGAGATGGCACCACCCACTGGGGATCCAAGGTAACAATATCAAAATGGGAATGATGGATGCTCTTCCCTGTTGATAAATAGACAAGGCCAGATCTCAATAATGGACCGGGCAGGGAGCCCATATCTGAACTGGTCTTCCAGCAGGCCGGGGGCAACTGACCCTAACTGTGAACATTCTACCAGCCTGCAAAGACAGCTAGAAATCAGAGCTGAAACGACATTGGATTTAAAGGAAAAGTCTCAGAGTGTGCTTGGCTGGTTCTGTTAGTTTACTGACTTTAATCTATTCCTTTTCTTCTTCTTCTTCTTCTTCTTATTATTATCATCATCATTTTCTTTTTTACCTATTTCTCTGTAAACCCCATCTTTGTATAGAGGAATAGCATGCCGATAAGGAGGTTGTTTAGCTTGTAAGGCAGCATCATTGCATGTTTTAGTTTTTTATATGCTTGTTGGTTAGTTTTTAGTCATGGTTATTGTTTTTCCTTTTACTTTTTTCAGTATTTGTGTCTCTTTTCACTTCCTACTCAGTACACTCATCTCTTCTCCCTCTCACTTCTCTCTCTCACCACCCCCTTCTTCCCCCCAATGCCTGCTCCATTCTCTTCCCTCTGTTAACGTCATATTGCTTTCAGGGAGTAAACCTACAACCCCATTGCATGGACAGATTCTAAGGCAGTGGGAAGTGGGTTTCAGAATATCCATACACATGTTGCGGATACTGGGATCTGCAGAGAGATTGTGACTCACAGCTCCCTCCTAAATTAAATCTCAAAACTGCAAAAAGGACTACCCTCAATGCACAGTCCATCTCCAGAACTGAACAAAACAAGAGGAAATACATTAGGAAGAATAGGAGATTGAACAAACAGAAGTAAAAGCAATCACTCCATCCCTGAACAACAGAATTAAAGAAGATGGGGAAGTGGAGGGACGGGAAAAGTAGGGAGTAAAAATCTGCACAAATGAAGAAAAGCCAAAAGAAGCATACATGGCTCACACAGATGCCTGGGAGTTCAGACACTGAGAAAACAGACTTCGGAACACAAACAATGAAGAGCCCCCAGAATGACTGGTCACATGCAACAAACGCAGACATCAAGACATTAATAGACAGAATTTTAAAAATGAGGAGAGACAAGAGGAAAATTCGAAGGAGCTGATGACAGAAATATCAGCAGTAAAGAATACTGTGATGGAAATAAATAACAAACTAATAAGCATGGAGAGCAGAATTAGTCAAGCAGAAGAAAGAATCTCAGACCTTGAAGACCAAAATACAAATCTAACCCAAACTGTCAAAAACGTAGAAAAGAAGCTTAAAAAGATAGAACAAAACCTTCAAGAGATGAATGATTATTTCAAGAGACCCAATCTAAGAGTAATTGGTCTTCCTGAGACAGAGAGAGAGGCAGAGGCCACACTGGAACAAACATTTCATGAAATTATTCAAGAAAACTTCCCTCACCTCATCAGTGATGCATAAATTCAAACACAAGAGAGTCTCAGAGAACCCCTGCAAGACAACAAATGAGAAGACCAACTCCCAGACACATAATAATTCACCTAAACAAAAAATAGGTATAAAAGAAAAAATTCTAAAGGCAGCAAGGAAAAATGGTCAGATTACCTACCAGGGAAGACCAATTAGAATAGCAGCAGATTTATCTACGGAAAACCTCCTGGCTAGGAGGTTTGGAGTCCTGTCTTCAAAGTTGAAAAAGATAAGCAGTTTCAATCGAGAATAACCTACCCAGTCAAGCTAAGTTTCATCAGGGAGGGAGAACTGAGATCTTTCCCAGATATCCAATCCCTAAGAACCTATGCTGCCACCAGACCACCCGTACAAGAAACACTTGAGAATGTACTGAACACAGAAGAAAAGGAAAAAAGAACAACAACATTCTTCACAAGAGTACAGGCAAAAGATTAACAACACACATGAAACAACTCCAACACCATAAGAAAGACAACAAACATACAGGAACCACAACTTTGTAAGAACGTGATGACAGGGATCAACTCTCACATTTCAATAATTAGTCTAAATGTGAATGGACTAAATGCACCACTGAAAAGACACAGAATGCACAATGGATAAAATATCACCAGGCAACTATTTATTGCCTTCAAGAGACTCACCTCACTAGAAGTGACACTCACAGATTCCAAGTAAGAGGATGGGAAACAAACTTTCAGCGAGCGGAGCACAACAGAAAGGAGGAGTCACGATCTTTATTTCAAACAAAATACCCTTTAAGCT